CACACACACACACACACACACACACACACACACACACACACACACACACACACACACACACACACACGTTTGTTTCTCGACCCCGTGGGGACCTTCCATTGACTTCCATTCATGTTTTTTTAGACTTTACAGCCTAACCCTGACCATATACTCTAAAATTAACCTCACAGAAACTTACCTGACCCTAAAACTAACCTAAACCTTGGTCCTAAACCTAACCCCACACCTGTAACATGCATTTGGACCCGTGGGGACTTCGGTCCCCACCTGGCTGCTTTTTTTTTTTTGTAAAAAAAAATACCCCATGTTGCAGGAAAAACCCGTCCACACACACACACACATACTGACTCTTTGACCAACACTCAATAGTTTTTCAATAAAACCACACATTGCTCAATGTTAAAAAAAATAATTATTGCAGGAAAAATTGATAATTTCTATAGTAACATTACATGTTTGCATCCACTTTGACCCAACAACATGTAGAATAACAGGAACAGGACAACGTGACATTTGGTTGGGCTTTCCTCACAGACAGGAACATTTTGCTGACACACAAAAATCCTGTTTACGCTAACACTAAACATGAACAAATACAAGTCTGGTTAAATACAGAACAGTGGTAAAGACACATGGTTCAGGAAATACCGAACAGAAAACCTCAGCTTGCATTAAGTTCTATTGAATTTCTGTGAGTGAATCTGAAACAGCTGGAGCTGAAGAAATAGATCTAATAAACTAGTGTCACTTCAGGAACGCACCACGGTTAGCATCATGCTAAAAGGAGCAAAAGGAAAACTCCACCCAGAAAAATCCTTTTTATGTTTGTGTTGTGGTGGCAGAATTACAGTTTAGACACAAATGTCATTAAATTAACACCACTGTGGAAGAAAACAGTCATCCTGAAACATCCACAGCAGCTACATCTGCTACATCCCACACGTTTTTTTTAAATTATTTTGAACCTTTTTGGGGAAATCTGAAAAATAACAACATAAACCAACATTTTACAGATTAAGCCTGTTATTTTGTTTATAGTCCATCCACAAAAACTGTTAGGAGCCCAGGTGTTTGAGTTATATATGGTATTTATATGAACATCATGGTGCAATCATATTTCGTTGATGTTGTTTTTTCCTCATCTATCCTCGCGTGGTATTTTCATTTTTCTTTTTAAAGGTAGCGRGACCCCTGTTGGTTGCCGCATGACCTTTTCACCTGTTCCCCCATGTTTTTGTCATGTGTCTTCTTGAATGGGTGTTAATAAATGTAATTTCTTTGTGCTCCATACAATGGCAATAAAGGCATCATCAATCAATCAATCAATCAATCAATCAATCAATCTTTATGAGAATGTGACCAAATCAATTATTGTCTCTGCATGGCTTCATCCCAAACAGCTGACAGGATGGACATGTGACTCAGTGACCCCAACAAGCCTTTAGTGTTTGTCCAAATGATGTATGACCCTGYAACTCTCCACCTATCCCCAGAACGAGTCTTTAAGATGAGATCTGGAGCATCAAGAAGATGTTCAGAGTTGATAGAGTATGTGCTGAATCAGGCCCTGATTCACTCAGAATGAGCTGTACCCGTTTTATCAACTGCCTCAGATAAATCAATACATTGAAGATCATTTCCAGAGAAAAACCAATTTAAAAACTTGGCAAAAGCATATTTTTCAATAAATGTCAAACATAAGAGTAGTCTTTAAAGAATAAAGCTATTATAGGTATTATAGCATAGAGCGGGTTGAACTGTATTTGACTTACAGTAGATGAGTGTTTATAATAGCAAATCTCTGCTGTTGTATTATTTGTGGTATCAATGCTGAAAAGTTTGTGAACCAATTTTCTAGATCCATTTGATGTTATTTAGTTACTGTTTTATCTAGCTTATTGTGTTTCATATTATGAGTTAAACGAAGCTGAACAAAAAACATTTAAAAGTGTCTTTGATACACCTGAAAATAAACTCCAATGCTTAAGACCCACTTTTTGAGAAGGYAGTCTCTACAGTCACTAAGTGTGAGTTTCTTGGTTTGAGGGAGTTTGTCAAAACATGACTGATCTGTTTGAATTTTATGGGAGGATTTTGGGAATGACATGATTGGTTGGATATGTTGGATGAGGTTTGAAGAAGACATATTCAGTTGGATGAGCGCTGGGCAGCTGAGGGGATGTGTAGCTCGGTCGKAACGCCCWGAAAGCAGCTATAACTTTAAAAATTAAAAATCATTTTAATCKTYACTCGAGACAGGAAGGTGCTGGCKACCCAAAATTCAAACAATGTACACGTGGAGGGATGTGTAACAATTCAACATTGGTCAAAACTGCTCTAACACGAAAATGATCACTATTTTTGAAAATGAAAATATTAGTTGTAACTTGTGACAGGATGGTGTTAGTTGAACCAAATTTGAATTCAATAAATTATATTTAGATGTTCACAATACTTTTACTGTAAACATTACTTCATCTTTTAACTTGCCCCACAAGACAAGTCAACTTGACAAATTGCAGTTAGGTCAAATCCCGCCCACAACACGAACTCCACCCACACTGCCAGGAGACTCCCCCTATGTACTGCAGAGACCCCTACTTGCACTTTAATATTTCTGTTAAATACACTAAATGTTCAACATTAATCATTCGATGAGAGAATAAATTATACTTTTCCTGACATGCTTGTCCTCTTTACCTGAAGACATTAGAGCAGCATATTCTCCTCTTGTCATCTCTCAGAAGACAGTAAATATTAGAGGCTAATTGTGTGTCTAAAACAGTGATAAACTTTGAAAATGAAGACTTTTCCACAAACAGTAACTTCCATTAATAAGGACAGTTTTGGCTCAAAATAACTTGATTTAAATGTGGGTAAATGTTGGCAGCTCAGTTCAAGGCACACATCTCTCTTTCCAAGAGATTTGAGAATTAGATGTAAAGTTTGAGCGAACTCTTAATTAGCACCTGCGACAACGGCACTCTCTTCTGATAAATCCAGGCCTGAGACTTCACCACAGCTGTGACAAGCTAGATAATATTTAGCATCATGTTGGAATTTCAGCAAAACACTGTATGCTTACAGGAATCTTTACCCTAGCAAGGGGTCAAGGAGATGCTCCAAACCTAAAGCTAGGGGTCAAGGATTCACCCAAAGTGTTCTCGAATTCTTCTTCGGATCCATTTTTCTCTCACCACCTTTGGTCTCAAAAAAGGTTGATCAAATCAAAAATGAAGGCTTGTTTGTAGGGTGGAGTTTCTCTTCATTAATATATTGTCCACTGTAAACTCACCTGTTTAACCTTTTATATGACTGAGGTCATCTACTTGTGATACAAACGTATGTTTATGGCCTGAAAGGCCTCTCATACATGGGAGTTTTTTCTAGTGGTGCACACAAGGAATTTAAACACCAAATAATTTGTTAGTCTAGCTAAAAATTTACTGTTTAGTACAAAGTGGATGTTTTGACCTGCTGTGTGGGATGTTTTATGGGTGATGACATAAAGGGGGTTTGTTTTGTAAGTCCTGTTGGGGGTTCAGGGTGTAAAACGTTTGGGAACAAATGACCCTCTGCAGTTCAAGAGCAGAATCTCGTCAGCTCAGATGGAGACGGGACAGACGAGGATGCGGTCCTCCAGGAGGACGCTGAGGACGAGGAACACAAAGTACAGAACAAACATGGTGACACCCAGCATTTTGCTCATCTTCCAGCGACACACAGCTATGGAAATGATGACGAAGAGGAGCATGAGGAAGAGCAGCACYATAGCGCAGAACAGGCCGTTGGAGCTGACAGTCACTGGTTTGCCGTTGTGGAGGAAAGTATAAATGAGCCACGGGATGGGAAGTCTGAAACAGACAGATTAGCACATAAACTACACCATGGTCATAAACAGTAAATCTAATTTCCAGTCACTGACACACAGGTTCACTCACCCAACAGTGATGTCGAAGATATTACTGCCCACTGAGCTGGACACGGCCATATCTCCCAAACCTTTCCTGGCCACAATCACACTGGTGATCAGGTCAGGGATGGACGTCCCTGCTGCCAGGATGGTCAGACCCATAATCTCCTCTGAGATGCCCACAGTCTCGCCCACCTGCCAGAGCAAAAACAAGGAAACACCATATTCCACCAGCTGGAAGAATCAGAGAAGAGGTTCCAAAGATTCTTCTGTAGTAAAAAATGAATCATGATTATTGTGCTGTGCAGTTTTACACAGTGAGTTGTTCTGAGCTGTCAGCCACCACTGCTCACTAGATGGCACTGCTGTGCAGAACAGGGCTGAAGAAGCAATGTATTCTCAAAGTCATCCATTATGTGATTTCAGCTTACATTTTTTCATGGTGGAGAATCCTGCTGTTCAGATAAACGGTTTTTGGTGATGTAAAATATGTTGTGTATCACATGTATTTATTGAGATATTTCTCATGTTATGTGGCTATGAGAAGACCTTACACCCTGATGCATGGCAGCCAGAGTTGTGTAGTAACTACTGGTAGTTAAATTTWCTCAGTAACATTGTCACATGAAGTGCGTTACAGCTGCAGGCAGCAGGAAACACGGTAAAACTCAGCTGTTGTTACTCAGTTACAGTAGACTTTTTAAAACTTTGCAGCACTGTTTATAATTGGACTGGTAACCGTGAGCGGCCAGTTTGTTCAAAAACCTCCCAGTATATCTGATCATTTTAGACTGCGCCATCAAGCTATTTGTTTCCTAGACACTCCTGTGTGCCCTGCTGCCTTTGTTTCTCAGATCCTAATGACTGCACTGTAATTCAGTTTTTTTAAAATTTCTTTTACAACACATTTAAATGATGGGACCAGGAATCTCTCAGAGAGATCCCTATTAGAGGGATCTTGTGCCAAAAGGTTTGGCCCAAATCTGAGCACCAAAAAGGGAATCTGAGTTTAGAACCACTGGATCTCCCCAACAGTTTAATCTGATCAGATGGTTGCACCCATTGATAGATATTACTAGATTGGGCATCATGTGACCTAAGCGTGCTTCGCAAGGGGGATTTTTATGCATTGAGCTAATGCTGATGCTAACCATTGAAATCAATGAGCAGAACGTAGCGRGGTGCAAACAAACGCTTTATAAATGCACAAATGGTTCAAATACTTTGCTATAAACTGCAGAAATTGTTACATGTTTACAAGAACTAATAAGATTATGTTTCACAGGTAAATACTATGCATATTTAACAAAAATGTATTATTTTAATCACAAAACCTGTACGCTAACATTAAAAAGCTTCAGTGTTCATGTTTAACCTTATTTAAAATAGATTTTATCTTTTGTCAAAGATTATTTACTGATAAAAAAATATGTAAATATGAACTTTATTGGATTGTTGACTAGTTAGACTACATAATAATTCAGAAATTATGTAGAGCCACTAATGACAGAGAAAGCAATGTAATGATTGAACATCATAAACATTAAATAGTCATGTTGTCACACAGGCCGGTTTCTATATTCAGTTTTTGTGTGCTTTTCAACATTTCCAGACAAAAAGGAGAAAGAAAATGTGTGCCAGCTGTGAGTTGGCTTCAGATACAGCCTGCATCATTATGAAGCTGAAGAATAATATTTTTTTCTAAAAATAAATTCATTAAACAATTCACCAGGCCAAGGTCCGACAGGGCCAGGGGACCCAAGCCCCACTGGGCAGCCACCGGGCCGAGCCGGCACATGCCCAAGCACCCAGCCCCGGACAACGAGAGCCACCAGCGGGCAAAGGCACAACCCACCAGAGGGCAGCGTGGCAGGGGAAGCAATGGGCCCTCAAATGATCCCGAAGAAGGGGCCGCCCAAGTCCCAGCCCGACAAAAATCCAAACATACACAAACACAATCCCACCCTCATCCTCTCACCCACTCATTCAAGACACACAAGATGGACGCCAAATTCCACTCACATTCCCCAAAACATACTCTATACCCCGCAGATCCAGGATATGCACCCACCCCACTACAAAGGGCAGCTCACATCCGAACCCAGGAGGTAGACCCCTTCAATCCCCTTCAATTCTTAGCTTTATTTTGAACCATAGTTTGTAAAAATCGAGCAAGAAATAAGAAACTTATAAGAGATTTTCATCAGGATGACGCCTCACAGTCCGTTGACATCCATTCATTTTGTTGAGGCAATGCATAACAGAACTCCAGTGTGTGCACGTCAATGTAGCTAGCAACACGCTAGCCACGCCGGTGGTTGCACCAGTCAACACCACCCTAGGTGCTTTTCACAAGGTTGTTGCTGGTTCCTATCTGTAAATCTCACATCAGAGAAGGATTCACATGTCCTCATTTGAGCCAGAAGACCACTTCACATAGATGATCAGAATAAAATACACAAACGCCAGAAAGATCACTTTACCTAGTGAGGAGGAGAAACCAAGTTACACTGTATTTTTGGTAATTGAATAATGTCCCTGGTTTGTAGAGTCTAATCAGGCTTAAAGCAATGCAGATGTGCGTACGCCAGCCCTGGAGTTGACGTAGGGCTGCGCACATTTCCACGTTCAGTTGAGTTTTGATATATCTGGAGTTTTGCGTGGAAAATGGCGTACYCAAGGTTTTTGTGTGTACGCACCGTTGATACATGAGGCCCCTGGAGAAAACCCCATACGTGCACAGAAAGATCCCAGAACTGGAGTGGGGATTGAACCCAGTTCCTTCTTGCTGTGAGGCAACAGTGCTAACCATTGAACCACCGTGTTGCTGTGCTGGTGATAGTATCATTTTGGCAGTACGAACTGATGAATGTTTAACTCGCGTTTTGAAGCCATTTTTTTACTGAACTAACAAACAACTTCATAAAATCCAGAGTGAGAGAGGAAGAGTTAACCCACCTGATGAGCCCACCACACCATCAGATAGGAGAAGACGCCGATCCAAAAGATTGAACCAATGAACGAGAGGATAAAGAATCTCTTGGACGCCTTTAAAAAACCAACAAACAAACAAAACAAATCTTTAACATGTCTTGTTTACAAACATCTACAAAGTGATGAAGACGAGCGCTGGTGCTCACCGGGTTTCGGACGTCCGGCAGCGTGAGCCACAGCGGGAGCACGATGGGCAGCAGGAACAGGTAGCTGGCCTGTTTACGAGCGGTTGGAGGCCACTGTAAAGACAGCGGCTCGTTCTCCTCTTCCTCCTTCTCTTCCTTTTCTTCATCACTGTCTTCATCTGTTTCCTCGCCCTCACAGGAGTCGCTGCTTTCCTCATCACCACTTCCTTCCTCTCCGCTACCCCCCGAGCCGTCAGATCCCCCCGCTGATGCTGCAGCCTGTGCAGAGGAGCAGACTGTAGTCTTCCTCAGTACTGAATACTTTACACCCAGGCAGCCAGACTTTCTGAACATCTGTTAAAGGTTTTAGCTGATTTTCACTCACTTAAGGTTTGGTTCTGTAGTCATTACACAATTTGACACACAAGAATATTCAAGAACAAAATAAAACTTGGTGTTTTAACATGGTGCACACACTGTGTCCTTAAAATGTACTGAAAGCTAACAGAGGAAATATTATCTTTAAAAAACTATATTTAGCAGTTAGACATCATGTTTTGAATAAAAAAAGAAAAAAGTAATAAAGCAAAGACCTGACAGGGGACTTCATGGGGTGGGGTAGTTGCTAAAAGGCCTTTTGTCGGAAAAGAAAAGTCAGATAAGTTGAATAATAACAATGAGCTGAACTGAAACTGAGTGGCAGCAGGTCCAACACAGAGCTCAGACCAAACTCAAACACTTCACATAAAATGCTTGTTCTGTTTCCAAAGAGGACAGCAGAAGTCTGTAAAACACGGTGGAGGTTTTATCATCATCTGGGGCTGTATAATATCTGACTGACAACAGCTTTGTAGTGTAAATAATCCCAGTCACACTGCAGAAACAGAAAACAACAGCTGAACAAAAGCACTTTGTCATGAACTGGACTCGTCAGAACTCCTATCTCAATATTTCCGAAACTCTAAAACCATTTTAAGAAAATAGTAGAACAAAAAGCTGAGAACATCCAAATAAGAGCCTCTGAATTACATAAAGAACCATGGAAAATATTTCCAAACAACTATTTCAAGAGCTTTTCAGAACACCCACACTCACCCTCCACAGGACAGTTTTTCCTGTGTAAAGTTATTGCAGTTAGCCCCTGGCTACAGCTAGCCTAGCGTTAGCTATCACATAAATGCATAAAGTGACCAATTATTTCTGTAATTTACATCATCTGCTACACAATCACTTGGTATTTTTATTATCAGCAAGAATATAATGATCAGCAGAAAATATTTAGTGTTTTTATCAAAAAGTATAAAAAAATTGATTGTATCCTAAAAAGTATTGAGTTTAGTTTTTAGAGTAATTTCAGCATAAAACAGAGCTTGGTTCATGTCTGAACTCTTTAATTTTAAAAGTCAAATGATGAGACTACTGGATCACAACCACTAATAAAAAAAATCCTTATTTATTAATGTTATTTCATGATGTTTTCTTTACTTTTTAAAGCTGACTGACTCCAGGCCTATGACTAAAGCAGAAAAAAGTCAAATGCCATTCAATTCACTGTTAGTGGTTAACATATATAGTAACATAATTGCACCTGTTCAGTGGATTAGTTGTTAATATTCTTAGTTTTAAACATGTTTTAAACAGTTGAATCTCATCATTTATTGGCACAATGACATGTTGAGTTACAAATAAAACTAAACTAAAACTAAACTAAATAAATGTAAAATGTACCACTAAAATCATTGCATGTTATGAATTGTCACATTAAATATTTATCTCAGCCACAACATTGAGTTTTAAAACAGGATGACACAACTAGTTGAATGACGAATCTGCCTAAAATAATTATTTAATCAAGTGTTTATTTGTCTAAGTAATAAGTATGTTTAACAACCTGTTAAAATACACCAGAGTGCAGGAAATGGCATCTATTTCATTCGAAATTTTCAGGGGGAGAACCCCCAGACCCCCCACCAGTGTGTCCCCCTCACTTTTAAAATGCTTCTGATGCCTCTTCACCTACTGATATGCAAATAGCAAACAATTAATTTTTCATCCTTAATGTTTATGAAGCACTTGACTGCTGTTTATGATCCTTTCAGGAAATTATCCGTGAACATCTACGACTTATCCACTGTTGAAGTTAATTCAATTAAAGATGGCCACCACAGCTAACTACCCTTAACCAACACAAGCATGGCTGTAACTCAGTCAGTTTTAAATGTAATAACATTAAATGTGTTGCTGAGAGTCAGTTATAACATACACTGAGAGATAACACATCTCACAAGAGCTTACAATACTGCATTAGTGCACAAAACCTGGTTCAGAAGTTTTACCAAAACAAAATTTAGTTCCATCCCTTCTCATCATAAAATCATCTTAGTTTTTTTTCCTTTCATGAAAGGAGGAAGATTAATTTTATTCCTTCAAGAAATGCTGTCTTTAATCACATTCCAATAACGCACATAGTCTACTACGTTCCTGAACATTTAAACAGACTGATCACCTGTGGTTAAAGACCTCCCTACTGAAGACTTACCGTTTTGATAAATCCTATAGTTAGACTTAGGTTTCCTGAACTATTCTTCATTTCTGCTGCTGTAGACTTAGACTGCTGGAAAACAAACTGAGCACATTTCCTCACTCTGCTGTCGTCTTTAGTCTCTCTTCTCTACATGTTTATTGTAATTATTTCTATCAATGCCATGTTTTCTTTGTCTTCCAGGAGAAAATACATAGTTGCTTTTTCCTTTCAAAAAACTGGAAAACCCAATAAAAGTGCCATGATGACTAATAAAACAATTTGAGATAAAGAAAGGAAATTTTTTCTGCTGGACTCAGGGGACGATAATAAAAGCAGAAAAAATGAAATCAGTTAATTGACTGAAGTCTGAGGAGARGTTAGCCCTCTCCTCTCTGCTGATCAACATTTATTTCCCAATGCTGAGCTGTAATTAGGAAGWGTGATACTGAAACATCAAGTACGCATATTGTTGGGTTAATTTAACAAAGTCTACTCAGACAGGACTGTTTTGAACCAGACAGAAATAACTATCATCACATAAAACCTCCTGAGATTTGAAGAAGAGAACTTTCTCTCCACCTTGAACTCTTCAGTTTTCTCRTCACGTGTTGCAGGCTGTGAGGTGGAGGGTTCAGCTGCTGCGCCTCCTGCTGCTTCTCCTGCTGCTCCTCCTGCTGCAGGCTGCTCACTCTTTGGCTTCTGACCGTCTGAAAAAGAGCAGGAAATAAAAGCTGAGGTGCAGGACTGAGTCATGTTTTCTTCTCTTTTTAAACAGTAACTACTGCAGATTTATGGGAGACTCGTCAYTCAGTCTTAGTTCAGTCAGAGAGTGAAGGCGTCACAAAAACAACCAGACTAAGATTTAAGGTTAAAAGGAAAAAAATTGTATAGGTCCTCTGGACGGGTT